ATCACATATTATTACTAAAAAAAACTTATATTTAAAAATTCGAAAATACTGGCCTACAACTGTCATTTGTATTGTGTTTATGTCATTTTAGACTTTTTTTTTGTTTTTATTTGACGTAACGTCGTTCGTTCATCGTCGATTGATTTGAATCTGAAACAAAAGAAAAGGAGTATTAAGACCAGTTTGATACGAATGATTACTAATTTTGAACGGGCGAAATCAATAGCTAAGCGATCCCAATTCTAAATTACCAATTTCTACCAGAAACAATCATTAGAACTAATGTTAAAAAAGATCTACAATATCCTAGATCTATCATTGATCCCTAAATATCATACAGAAAAATACTATTCAATTACAAAACAAATCTCTAGACAGCAACAAAAGGTAGTAATCGACCCAAACACACTACTAGCGCCATCTACGCACCGCAAAAATGCCCTCTTTACAAGTTTTCACAGCAAGGTTTAGCATTATTTATTTATAAATGCAACCAAGGTGTGGTGAAGCTGGCAGAGCATTGCAATGGCCCAAATTCATATTTAAAAACACGCGAACCACACCTATTACAGTTCGATTGTTTAAAATGAGTTAAAAAAATTAAAATGCATGAGTTCGCGTGGGTGTGTAGTGTATGTTCTATATTTTTAGTTCCTGGTATTTATAATGATTCTAATCATAATATTCAACCAGAAGCGGATTAAAGCTAGAAGCTAGTCTTAGGCAAGCACTTCATAGGCGCTCCAATTTTTTTATTGGTGCCGCCTCCACTCTTACTATGGGCAGTTGGGCACACGCGTCTCGCGGCGCCCCTTTGCTACCTAGCGCCCTAGGCACTTGCCTAGTTTGCCTTAGGTATAATACGGCTCGGTAACTAACACAATTAAAGCTTCGACTACGATTGCATTGCTCATTAGAAGCGTAGTCAGGTGCACTTATAATCTGACGAGTTTAGAATTCAATACCCTGGTCGAAGTACATACCCAAATATTTTCGATTTTTCAAAATTTTCCTAAATGCTTAATAGGATGGTGCCGTAAATTATGGTACATGGCAATAGGTTAGCCCTCAATCACATAGGTCTCATTAAAAACTGGGGAAAAGTGGATGTGGTTTATGTGCCAGTCTGCAAACCCTCTCGATGATTAAAAGGCTAAATATTGTGTTACAAAATGTAGGTAATGAATTACAGTACTGTTAGACTAACTATTACAAAAATCTGGGATTTAAAACAGTTGATTTAGTGTCTGTTAGCTTGACTGACACATTTTATAACTAACTATTGGAAGAAACTATTGTAGTTAGTTAAAAATCAGGTTAAGATTATGTAGCGAGTAACAAAAAGTTGAAAAAATTCAGAAATAAAAACAATAAAGTTTAGATAATTTAGTAGTAGGACTTATTTTCTTTTGAGAAGGGAAAATTATCGAATTGGAACCCAGTGTGAGGAGAGAGAAAGTGATAGACTGTTACTATCTAAAAATTCACACCGTCTCTACTCCTACTCCGAGTCGGACCACAGTATTTCATTGCACTTGTCCCACAATACTGAACTGTGAGTCACTAAAAATGTTTTTCTCATCGAGGGGATCATTTCACAAATAAGGTTGTAAAACACAGTTCTAGCATGATGGAAACTCTCATGAACTCTACTAGCTATGGAGACAGCTTTTGAAATTGGACTTTTATAAAGCAGGACAACCATGTAGTGACCACTCTAGACTAACTCCATTATAAACCTTATTTCTGATGTTTAGAGACTACTTTTATATGAACATATTTTGGGTGTGATATATCAATGTATTAACTCATCAAGTACCGGTTTTATAGACACAATTAAAGAACAATAGGTTGCGGTCACCGGTGACCGCTTGGTGTTTGACAGTTTAAAAAGTCAAACACCGCGAAGACACCTGTGTCCGCACACCTATTGTTCTTTAATTGTGTCTCTATAATGACGGTATCAAAGGGTTAAGTCTATGTATAGAACACACAAAATATTTATAATACCATCTGATGAAATCCCTGTAAATAATTTACAAAACTGACATGTTCTTCGGACTACTTACTTGACTGATGTGATAAAAAATGTATGTCCTTTTAAAAAGCATTTACGTACCTAGACACTAAACCTATTTTTATATTCGTTCAAGAATAAAATATTCCTGTAACCACTTACCTAACAAATACAAAACTGAACAAATATAATTTAAATATGTCTTTAGTAAAGTTTACATTTAGCAATTATTGGTTGTCAAAGTCGAGACGAATCCAATTCTCAATGATCATACAAAAAATGAACAATACTATGAAAATATAATTTGCTACACAGAAACCAAAACAGCGGCCACATTACAGCAAAAGAAATAAACTTAATGACTCCGGCATTAAGCCATTCTGCCTAATAATTGTATTACTTCTCGTTCAATCAAATTAAGTTTTCCAAATAAGTCAGTTATAATAACTAGCAAAAGAATACATGCATAAACTACATTATTATAATGAATAACTGCAAATTTGACTTCCATTTTTGGTGAGCAAATTAAATTTTTATATCAAAGACATGGTCATTAGGCTGTTCATTGTTGGACCTTAGCCTTCTTTTTTTAACGATGTTGGATTTTAATGGTTGTGCCACTGGTCTATGCTATAACATGTAAATTTTACAAAAATGTAAGTAATTAAACCTATTTTACATTACCTAATCAATGAGAATAATATAAAATACCAATTTATTGCGAGTTACTTCGTCGTTCTTGTAGTTTATAGTAAATATAATTGAAATTCGGACAGTGAGTTGAGTTTAATTAGACATTTTAATAAGAACTTAGAGAATAACAATTAAAATACACACCTTAAAAAAGTAATCCATAAGTTCACGTCGACAACACATAATCACACACTCACAACACGAAATAAATACATTTTAATACAATTTAAGAGTTACAAATCCAAAACTTTCTTCAAAAAAACTTTTTTCGTTCGCAAAAAGTTTTTCCACAAACAGGCACGTCACGTAAATATTTTCATCGAACTGTCAAAATTCTATTATCCGACCGAAAAAACGGAACGCGGATACGGAACTTTTGGTTTACATAAACCCGCCATTATTATTTAGCCGGGTTATAATATTTAAAAAAAATAGAAGAGCGTGAAAAAATATGATTCGCGTTTTGTTTTTGTTTTAATTTAAACGAATGTAAGGAGGATATCCAAGTTTTTCTGTGTCGAAATTGCGACGCGTAAACACCGCTGTCCGGTTAGAGTGGCCTTCTAATACTGTTCAAGAAGTATGGCGGGATAGTAGGTATTGGACGTTCGCTAGCCGCGGCCGGTCCACGCACTAAGCACTGTAAGACACATCAAGCGATACAAAACTAGTATAAACTGACCGCTGAATGTCCAGAAAAGTCATACGGAGCAAGACCATGATCAACTGGATCTGTTTAGCTCAATATGTGCCTCAGTAGGTACCTCAGTATTACCTACAGTAGTTGTAGGTAATGCTACAATAATTGCGGTGACAATTACTGAACAAAATAACGCTAATGTTTGAGGTCATTCGCGCGCTTTTTATTTTTTTTTAATCGACTAACGCAATGACCTTATTTTTATAATGAGATGATCGCTGTAATGAGTTTAACTTTTAATGTTAAAATTTAAATGCGGATTCGAATATTTTGTTACAATAACGAATTAAAATTATAAACTGTCTTGTAATAATAGTCGAGTGGCTACTCTATAAGCATGATTGCTGAGTACGAGGTCACGGGTTTGGTTCCAGGGCCCAGTTATTTTGGGTCCTTTCGATTCCAAAAATTCTCATAAAGTTAGTTAGAAACACAGAAGTCTGAAATTGTAACCTTTTATCGAGGAATTTTTCATTTTTCTAAAGGGGAGAGTTCAGCAGTGGACGTCCTATGGCTGATAATGATGATGATCCAGGACTGAGGACTCATAAAATAAGGGGCTGAAAACGCACGTTAACCGCCGCGTAGATCACCGGTGACCTACGTTTGCGGAGGATTTGCCTTCAACAGTTTTTTGCCGGCAGTCAAAGGCTTAATGTATCGATTTCCGCACCTCTGCTCGCTATACTTATTATAGGTACTCTTTGCCTCTGCTTACCCAGAGGCGGATTTAACTTAGAGAGCGCCCTTACTAGGCAAGCACCTCATAAACACCCCTAATTTCTTTTAGCGCCGCCTCCGCTCTATGTGCAGTTAGTCCCGTGCGTCTCGCGGCGCCCTCCCGTGTCCTGGCGCCCTAGGCATCTGCCTTAAACGGTCAAACACCAAGCGGTCACCGGTGACCGCAACCTATTGTTCTTTAATTGTGTCTATAAATACGGTACTCGACGAGTTAAGGATCTTATAGTGTCAAGTAAACTGTTTAAAAACAATTGGCTGTGCAACGTCGTCTACTGCATAGTACGTAGCTCATGAATATGAGTCCCACTGAGATTCGAAACTAGTCGAAGTTTTAATAGTTCATATGAATTACCGATATGATTCTTCTATCGAAAAAAATTAATAACAGCTAGGTACTGTAATTTCTATCGCTTATTTCATTTGTTAATGCTTTTATTTTTTAAGGGAGGTAATCTCCCAAAGACTTTTCTCGCCTGGGTGAGAGGGAGTGTCAGACTCTTACTGATTAAAAACCACCCCGTTCCTACTCCTGCACTTCGAGCCGGAGCCCCGGAAACCTGTTAAGTCCTTCGCTGCTCCGTATCGGCATCAGCCTAATTGGGCCCCATCCGAGGTGACCTGATGGTTTTGGAGGGGCGCGCGGAACGCGACGCGCCGTGTGCTCGGGTCTGTATCTGGTCGGGCTGCGAGCCATCCATGCTTGCCGTCCGCAGGTCCGTGCTTACGGTTTTAATTGTTAACGCTACGTTTACAAAAAGAAAGAGAGAGCGTGTGCGAGAGAGATAGAGACAGAAAGAGAAAGAGATAATCATAAAAACTCTTCTGTATAAAATGTTTATTTATATTTATTTACACATCCATCTTTTCTTCTGCTTCCTTATTGGGATCAGCTAATTTTCTTCTCTTCTTATAATGCTCTATTCTTTCTTCTAGGCTTGCTGTAATGAAATTATTAAAATATATAAAAACACTACTTTTTTTGAGAACCGAATCGACTTAACTAAAAAATTGCGGGTTACTCACGTGAATATACAGAGAAAAGCTCTACTAGTTTCGAATCACAGAGGGGTTCTTCCTCATGAGCAGCGTGCGCGCAGCCTACTGACTGACTGTGACCGCGCATGCTGCTCATGAGGAAGAACCGTTTCTCAGTATATTCACGTGAGTAACCCGGGATTTTTAGTTAATTTAGTATGTCTCACGACACTTATTAGAAAACATAATTATAGGCTACTTTTTCTGACACGGGAGCGCTCATAAGGCCGCTCGCTAGTAATTAATAATGACTCTATCGACTGGTAAAACTGAATAGAAATCTGTTAAGTAGTTTCTCACTTTATTACAAAAGCCAGAAAGATTTAGATTCCTTATAATATATCTAACTAAAAACAGCTTCAATTCCCACGAAAATAAGGTCTAAAATTCAACGGACGAATCTTATTTCTACATTTATAACAAGTGTCATCTGGAAATACTGGTATTTTTTTTTAAGGGGGGATAATCATCGAATGACTGCTCCCGCCTGGGTGAGGCGGAAGGGAGTGTCAGACTCTTACTGACTAAAAACCACCCCGTTCCTTCTCCTGCACGTCGAGCCGGAGCCCCGGTTACCCGTTAGGTTCTCCGCGACGAAATACTGGTATAAGGTTTTAAATTCAACGAATTTTTGTTCAACAAAATATACAAGCAAAAATAACAAAGTATTTCAATGTGGATAAGGTTGGAAATCCAATACACTTACAACAGGTATCTCTCTTCAATAACGGCTTATACACTTTAGCTCTGACACCCTGTAGGAGACAGTCAGCATACGTTATAACTCCGTCCTCTTCTCTCTGCTGACTATCTGTATTTGCTGTCTCGCTCTGACACTTGCTGTATAGCGATTCAATTTCATTGATGACTTCTTTTATCATTGTTGTTCTGAAATATAAGGATATAATTTAAGGGGTGTGCAGAGGCGGATTAACCTAATGGCGCCCTAGATAAGCACCTCATAGGCGCCTCTAATTTTTTTGGTGCCGCTGTCGCTCTATGGTCAGATGGGCACGCACGCCTCGTGGCGCCCCTCTGTAACCTATGCCTTTAGGCAAATGCCCCTTTGGCGCTTGTCTACAGAGAGAATAGAAAACGAAATGTATGGGGATGACACTGACAAGTGTCAAAATTTACGACAATTACATATAATTTGGTTTCTTATTCTACATGTAGACAAGCGCTAAATGGCATTTGGGTACAGCTGCTGGCGCCCTAGGCAGTTGCATAATTTGCCTTAGGGATGATACGGCTCTGGGTGTTTTTTCCTCTTCTATTTTTAAAAGTAGACTTATATAAACGTGACTGCGTGCGGCTAGTATTTTCTTTAAATCGTTGCCCCAAACTAGGATTTTCTCTTGTGTCGTGGGTGTGTTTACAAACATATAAGTTTCGGTCAAAAAATCGCGGGTTTCTCACGTGAATATACTGAAAAAATCTCTACTAGTTTCTAAATAAAGAGGCTCTTTCTTATGAGCAGCGTGTGCGGTCCGCGATTTTTACTTAATTTAGTATTAGTACATACGCTTTTACCCGCAGCTTCGCTCGCGTCACAAAAGGATAAAAAGTAGCCTATGTGACATATACCAATACACACAGCGCCATCTATACCAATTCTTTTATTTACCCTCGGAAATAGCAAATTTTTCCGGGATAAAAAGTACCCTATTATTTAATCCGGACTTCTAACTTTACGTCTGCAAAAATTCAAAGCAATCGGTTTAGTAGTTACGGCGTGAAAGCGGAACAAATAAACAAACTCACTTTCCGATTTATAATATTAATAAGGATAATAAGAATAAATGCTTAGACCCTACTTACTTGATACTATGCATTGTCCACTCGCTCTGCAGATGACCCAACACCTCTGCCAGCCCCTGTTTGCTACACCTCCAGCTTTGTCCCTCAATTATGTCATACGAACAGTGAAATAAATTCAGAGGTAAATCCAGAGCCATATTGTATTGAGGTTTCCTAGAAAGAAAACAAAATATTTGACGTGGGAGATTTGTGTATCACCACGAATGGGCTGGTTTAATCGGACTCATAACATAATTGGTGAAAAATGGGTATCACATTGTATATGATAAAATAATACAAAAGCGCCTAGGTACACTAGCAGACTAGGTTTTCACCAGTACATAGTAGGCACTTATTTTGGATTTTCCCGTATGAATTCACAAAGTATACTTATGGTACACGGTTTATCAAGACGATCGGACGATTGGGTACTTGCCTTAATTAAAATTAAATTATTTCGATTGTTCAATACAAAACAATATTATAAAAGTAATCACATTTTCATTAATTGATTTTATGACCAACTTAATGTTAGCGTTTTTCCAGGAAATAGTTAAGAAATAAATATGCTGTTTGACGCTAAAAAAACGTGACATCACAATACACAATGTCGTATCTACAAATTTCATAGAAAAACTGTCGTTTTTGACAGCTCAAAAAAAGTATTGAATTTGACTAGTTGGCAAGTACCAAATTCCATTTTTGAAGTGCCTAATTAAGGATTAACTCGTCGAGTACCGTATTTATAGACACAATTAAAGAACAATAGGTTGCGGTCACCGGTGACCGCTTGGTGTTTGACAGTTTAATAATTGAAATAGGACTATTGAATATCGCTTTAACTTTGACTACGAAAAAAAAATCACTTATTTTACTGAATTACATCAGGCTGATCACCTGTATGAAAACGTTCAGCGCGGCTACGCTACAGGCTTTCATACAAGGACACTCGTAACCAGAGACGGATTAAACTTTGACAGCGCCCTAGGCAAGCGCCTCATAGGCGCTCTTAATTATTTTGACACCGTCGCCACTTTGTGGGCTGTTTGGCGTCTCGTCGCGCTGGTCTGTAAACTCTAGCGCCTTGCCTTGTGTAATTTGCCTTAGAGATAATACGGCTCTGCCCGCAATACCAGAGAAGTCACAACTGTATTGAAAACTATATTTACGAAGAAATACGTTCTTTACTTGGTTTAAAGGTCGTATGTTGGAAATACGAGCGCTACTGAGACAGTTATTGCAAGTTAATTTCATAGTTTTACTGTATGAAACCGAAAAAGTAATAAAATTAACTTTATTCTTTAATAGATCACACCTAGGATTTTTCTCCACATCAAGTAACTCCCTGATGACTCCAGGCGTCTCCTTACCCTGGCCGACCAGCAGGAGTACGCCCATGATGCACCGGATCTGATGCCATAGGAAGGCGTTACCTTCGATCTGGAGGTAGAACATCGATGTAGCTGGAAGAAAATTATAACTTTCATAATTTTTAATGACGAACAGGTTTATTGTATTAATTAGATAAATAGGTTTTTAAACGATTTTATTTAACCTCCCTCGTTTGTTTGTTTAAGTCAAAATTAATTTGATTTTTACCCCCTTTCTGACGACAGATCGATCTGATACTTGGTACACACTCTTATTCCGGATGACCATACAATGTTATATATTTTTTTGAACAACTATTAGCTTAATACAGAGCCGCGGAGGGCTCCAGCTCGAAGCGAGGCGGGAGAAGGAACGGGGTGGTTTTTGGTCAGTAAGAGTCTGACACTCCCTCCCGCCTCACCCGACGAATGAAATCAAACAATGAGTTTCCCTCCTTAAAAAACATCTAATTTTTCCGCAACTACCGCCATAATGAATATGAAACTGAATATGAATGGGCTTGATTAGTAGAATAGAGCTCATTAACACCGTTTAACATTAAAACTGTTTTATGTATTACTTGTTGCTCCAAACCGGCTACACCACAACCATCCAATAACATCCAGCAAATATTTAACAAATAAACGAGGCAAGTTAAATAAAACTGTTTAAATATAACATAACAATCAACTCACCGGAATCCACATCACTAGGGTTCACAGGTAAAATATCAGCAGATATAATTTCCCTAACAAACTCGACCACACCGTTACCGACATCCATCTTGCAAAGATTGCGATAATCATTGGATCCTGTTAGATAACTACAGGCCTCCTTCATAGCCTTAATGTTAAGCAACGATCGAGGAAAATAGTATTTGTATAAACGCTTCTTGCAATCAAACCTGAAACCAAATCAATATTATCAGTCTGTGATAGTCTAAAGGTGGGGAGTTCCACGGCCTGCTTTCTTACAGGCCAGACCACGCCAGGCCAGATCGACTGGCCGTGGGAACAGTCGTATCCGATGAAGCTTGTGATGGCCTGTCCTCGCCCGTCCGATCCATCGGGAGTCCGTAACTTCAAAGGCGCGACGAAAGCGGCTGCACACGCAGCCATGCGCTCTGTATCACGTAACATGTTGGAATGACAAACAATAAGCCGCACCAGACTAGCACACGCCGTGGGAATGCTCAATACGGGCTGCGGCAAGCCTCCACAGGCTGGGCAACACCTGACGCGGCCTGTGGCCTGGCAGGCCGTGGGACCCCACCTTAATGCTAACAACGAACCACCTCAGAACCGTAATATCCCTAAGGCAAACTAGACAAGTGCCGGGCGCCAAGGCCTTTAGCCAAATGCCACTTTAGCGCTTGTCTACAGAGAGAGTTGAAATCAAAATGTATGGGGATGACACTGACAAGTGCCAACATTTACGTCAATCCCATATAATTTGGTTTTCTACTCTACAAGTAGACAAGCGCTAAATGGCATTTGGCTACAGCTGCTGGCGTCCTAGGCATTTGCATAATTTGCCTTAGGGATGATACGGCCTAAGATGTCTTTTCCTCTTCTATTTTTAGCCTCCTCTTCTTTTTTTTGCAGGTTACAGAGGGCGCCGCGAGACGCGCGTGCACTACTGACCATAGAGTGACGGTGGCGCCAAAAAAATTAAGGGCGCCAATGAGATGCTTGCCTAGGGCGCTCTCTAGATTTAATCCGACTCTGGGCCTTCACCAATACACAAGAGGATTACCATTGCCATTAACTTTATAATTTTTTTTTTTCAAGACGGGGAGACACCTTCGAACGTTAACCTAGCATTTTATGGACAAAGACTAAAAAATTCCGGGATTTGTACCTCACTGAAACCACCCCTATGGTCACCCTTAGCACCTGTAATGGACACTGGGTCCTCTGAAAGAGATCTGCTCCGGAGCCCCCACAGTGCAACGCTTATTAAGGGACTTCACTGAGGCTGCCATCATTGCCTGGCTCTCTACACTACATGACCTGCTGTTAACATGTGATGTACAAGTCCTTACCTAGCGCTGAATTCAGGTAAATTCTCAGGTATGGGCATCCAGGCAACGGCTTTAATGTCTTTAGGCAGTAATCTGTTCAGGATCTTGCAGTAGTCTATTTCTTTATTTAATGCTTCTTCTGTATATTGCTCGCAGGGTGGGAACTTGCTTTTTAAGGATATTGATATTACCTGTAATAAGTAATTAACATATTTTAATTTACAATGATAGTTTGTATTTACTTATGAAGAAAATATTACTTCTTTTTTAAAAAGCGTTGCTACACACTAGAGTTTTCTCCTGTGTCGTGGGTGGTGCATTCAGTGCTGTAATGTGCACCTCTGCTTTTGTTTGGACAGCACTGGTCCAGAATAACACACAGGTTACTTTCTAACCCACTGGAAAGCAAGCAAAGCCACTAGTAAGCGCTGGTAACACAATAAAAATCGAATTACCTGCCCAAAAGAACTGACACCTTTGTCCGTCCGTCCACATCGATGATAATTAGAGGTCTCTCGACTCTGTATCAAGCAGGATTTTGTGAGGGCATTGAAGAGGTGATGCTCTATGGTCTGGTTGGAGTCCTCCTGCACTGCAAGACCATTGTAGTCCCAACCGAAGTAGGATATACGGAGTAGGACACGACGGAAGTGGTATCTGAAACGATATGATTGACAATTAGTTATTTTATACTATGCAGGTTGAAAACATAATTGAACTATGTTTAACGATAGGTTTAATTCTTTATGAGTACTTCTTTTCTATTTAAGGACTTCGATTCTATATAAGGACACTCCTTATATACAGAATGGCAATAGGCAATGGGCTCACCTCCTGTTACACGGGACTCATAAAATAAATAGTGGAAAGTGGGTGTTACACTGTACCTTACATACAATCCCACGGAAACCAACCCTCTGTCTTCTACAGTGGCATTATGTGCCTTAACGTGCACCTCTGCCTATCCATAAGGGGATAAAAAAGCATGCTGTTATGTTATTTACAGATTAGGACGAAATGTAAGTAAAAAATACCAAAATCAAAATTGTTTTGATATTTTTCATCTTGTTTTGTTTAGTGCTTCAGTTTTAGTTCATTTTGTTATGTTGTTTAACGCAAACATTGCACACTTGAGTAAGTGTATAATTAGAAAATGCGCACTGTTACAGTTGAAATAGAAAAAACTTACAACAACTGTAATCAACTTAGAATAAGACCGGATCATTTGCACTTACTACTACTACTGGTCGGCTCCTATTTTTTATATTTTTAAATATTATTTTTTATTTTGTAAGTAGTATTTAAAAATGTAATTTATAGAGAATTTTAAATAAATATAAAGAAATCGCAGTAAGGAACCTTAAACTTGGCACGACTTTGTCTAGATTTCATTACTTTTTAGAGATAAACGAGCGGCACGGCGGCTCCATCGAGACTTGTCTAGTTTTTTACAGAATAAAACTTACTTGCTAAAATCCACCTGTCGTTTGTTTTCCTTCGCATCAGTTTCTGAAGAAGATTGAGAGAAGTTCTTACTTATAATATTCTTTAACTGTACATTGTGAGCTTCTAATTGCATAATTCTCGCTATAAGTTCCTGAAAAAACAGAATTATGCTAAAAATTAATTACGGAGAGGTTATGTTCCGAAAAACGTGTTGTATTGTGCTATACTGACCTCTTTACTCCATTTTTCTAGTTCTTCTTTCGAATTTGTGTCAGTATTTTTCTTTTTTGGCGGCATTATTCTTTATAACGTAATTCTAATAAATAAATAATACAATGTTTACAAAATGAATGCCACAACAAAACAGGCAGATTTTGACAATGACAGTCAGCTGTGCTGTCATGTCACTTGACGTGAAAATTTGACAGAAGTGTTTTTTTACAAATTGTCCCAGTTTGTAAAAAAAACTATTTTGGATAAAAGACTATTTTATCCAAAATAGTTTTTTTTTTATTTGTTTCTAATTGGTTGAACCAAGCTTTATTAACATTTGAAACAGATAAAAGACGACTGGCGCTCAATTTATTGCTTATTACAGAAGTTCAGGCCTTTTTGATGAGAAGGTAATAATTTAAAAATACTACAGAACGCCACTTAATTTATTAGAGCACTTTTACGTGCTTCTTTAGCCTTACACATTCGTACAAGTAAGTAGGTACGTCTGTTGACGGTTTTTATTTATTTTTATATAAATATTAGATAAGAACACAATACAGTGAACACCTGCATTTAAAATTAGGAAATATTCATTAATAATGCAAAAGAAACGAAAGGGAAGTGTGAGCCCGAATTAGAATGACCTTTAACAATAAATTGTTCTACCCCACTATAATTACAACTATACAGAACTATTACAAATAAATATAGTAACGTTTTAATATTTATTTTGCCATTTTCGTCAACTTAATAGCGTTTTAAGGGATTGTTTGAATATTTTTTTACTGTTTGCTGGAAATTTTAATCTAATGAACCTTTTAAATTAACAAATCATACTCTTTTCTTACAACAACACAACATCACGCCTTTTATCACCGAAGGGGTAGGCAGAGGTGTACATTATGCCACTGTAGGTACAATGTAACACCCACTTTTCACTGTTTATGTTATGAGCCTATTACCTATTTTTATAATCTTATTTATGCAAAATTACTTGTCTGTTATGTTCTAAGGCCCGTGTAAGGGACTGACAGTCTGTAAGAGTGAGTTTATTGCCATTTATCAGGCACAAGGCTTAGGATCAGAGAAGCTTTAAACTTGAAAAAATTTAATAAGCTGACCATTGAAAAGAAACCAAAACTCCCAGATCGGTAGACAAGCTTTGTGACTACACAACCAACCAGCCAGTCAAATATCTACAAATTAAGCTACTCCTGCGCGGTTCAACACGTTGCTCGGCTCCTATTGGTCCTAGCGTGATATTTTAGAGTCTATAGCAGCCTACCTTGATTAGGAGACTATCCACAATCATAATTATTCAAATTGAATCAGTAGATCCATAGATTTAAACCAAAAAAAATTCAAAACCTAATAACAAAGAAAAAAACAAAAGTAAAAAGCAAAAAATAACTATTATAAGTACTGATAGGTTACCCACCCACTGATAGTTTTAGTTACCCGGTATCTCTAGGATTTCATCATCAGAGGCCTTAGTCCGAGTTTTATTTACGTTTAAAGTATTCGAAACGAGTACGCGTTCAGAGTGCCAAGCACGAATAACTATCGCATTCGTAACGTAATAGTATCGAGCGCGTTCGGCGCTCTGATTGGCCGGCTCAAGTGAACCAACCAATCAGAACGCTTAACTCGCTCGATACTGTTACGATACGATTGCGATAGTTATTCGTGCTTGGCCCTCTGCACTCTGATTGGCCGGCGCCAATGTACCAACCAATAGGCAATAATACTCGTTACGTTACGTACGATTATTTTAAACGAGACTCGTACTAAGGCCTCTGATCCTGACCTCATGGAAATGGGACCATCTCCGGAGTATTATACCCTTTCAAACAAAACAAGAATTTTGGAAATCGGTTCACAAATGTCGAAGTAATCGGCGAACAAACAAAAAAAAACAATCAGCCGAACATAGTACCAGCTCCTCCTTTTCTTTTGAAGTCGGTAAAAAACAAACAAAACCTTCAACATAATGTTTAAAAAAGTTTAAATAGGTACTGAAAATTGTCATTTTAGGCATTTTCAAACAAAAATAGACCGAAATCCAGGCCCAAACAACCAAAAGTTGTTTCTTAAAGTTGTTAAATTCTTGTTGTGTGTCGTAGCAAAATAAATGGTTTTTCTTTCTTTCTTTCAAAGGACCTAATTTCCAGGATCGATTTACACAGAAATATCTGAAAAACTAGCCCTCCGTAGTCTAGCCATTCCTATTTGGCTATTTTAGTCAGAAATGTGTTAAAATATTGACACTGACACGACCGGGTCACGGTGTACGTCAGCACACTATACCATACCACCCACTGGTTCAGTTGAGCAGGGCCGGATCTATGTCGTAGAAGATGGGTAGCCTAGACAATCTAGTTTCCTTATGGCATCGAGCATTTCTTTATTTAAACAAAGAATTTCCTTTTCTGGTATAGAAGCACTAATAATTCTATGAATTGTCAGCATTCATATGTGAGCACCATGTTGGACTTTAAGATTTTTATTTTTTTTAAATTTTAGTAAGTTATTAGTATAATGCGTGTCTTTGCATTGTTCTTACATATGCGTACAGTATTGAAATATGTATCAGAGACATTGTAGAACATACTTTTTTAAAAAGAGTAACGAATGGAGTTTCTTGCTCGTTCTTCTCCATTCGAATCCACTTTTTGGAATGAGCACCTAGCTTCACCTAGTTTCACTGACGGACTGACTGACAGACTATTATTTATTTTGTATTTGTTGACGTTTCAAAAGTACCAAACTATGGTTTAATTGAAATAAATGCTTTGACTTTGACTATCTGGACTAATAATTCGGGCGCACCCATTATTGTTTTGTTGGCTTTAATTAGGCAGTAAGGTAGTATCCTAAATATTATTTTAATATCCGTCTGGTAGACTATTTTAAAACATTAGACACGTATTTTTTCTTTTTTCCTTTAGCCTCGCTGACCGAGTGGTCGCAAGTGCGACTACCGGGCAAGGGGTCTCGGGTTCGATTCCCGGGTCGGGCAAAGTATTATTTTTGTATTTGTTGACGTTTCAAAAGCACTAAACTATGGTTTAGTCTGTCAAACACCGAGCGGTCACCGATGACCGCGACCTATTGTTCTTTAATTGTGTCTATAAAACCGGTACTCGACGAGTTAATTGAATAAATGCTTTGACTTTGACTTTGGCTTTTGACAGTGCAAAATTGACTTTACTCGTCCCAAGTGGTAGGAGAATTTGGGAGCGACCCCATAGTCCGACCTATGTTACCATTTAGTTTATTTCAATATCCACTCAATGCAGATGTAATGGGCACTGGTGTTGAAACTAAAGAGTACAAAATTTAAGTCGACCCCTCGGAATTGGGATGATGACAGGGTATGAACATCAAAAATCAAATTAGTCCGTAAGTTAGGTAATGAAAAAAATTTAGACACGTATTTTTTTTATTTTGTCGTATAATAAAACAATACTTAGAGGTAGATAAAACGAATCAAAGTTTAGGAGTGGGGACTAAAACGTCATTTCTAGGTATAAAATGTACATAGAAGTGACGTCACGCGACATTTCAAATCGATATATCGTCGAAATTATTCGTTTTTATAAGGAAATAAAAAATACGTGTCTAATGATTTAAAATAATCTACCAGACGGACATTAAAATAAAAATTAGGCATCTACCCTATTGTATTCCAGAGTAAGCCCCCCTAACTATCAAATGGATAACCTACATTCAGAATCCCTTAATAAACTACTACATACAATTATAGTCGGGGCCTTTAGTCCTATTCATTCGGGGCCCAACATTATCGCAATGCGGCCCTGGCGACGACCCGTTTATATTGATGGATACTTAGACATTTCCTCTGTTTGTACAGGGCATGCGATACTTCAGCGTGATTTTATTGCTGTGGCACTTTACTATAATTGGAGGTTTCATGATTGGAAATTTAAGCTATTCATTTACTTGTAGAATAGAATTTGACTGTATTTTTTACTCTTTTTGTTTTATTGAAATTTATAGTGACGACTGCACGGTTGGTGCGGTGGCTGGGCAACCGGCTGCCGTGCAGCGTGCTGCGGGCTCGGTGCCCGGTATATGGCAATAGGCTCACCCCCTATTACATGGGACTCATAACATAAATAGTGAAAAAGTGGGTGTGACATTGAACAGAGGCATAATGTGCATCTCTGCCTACTCCTTCAGGGATAAAAGGCGTGATGTTATGATGATGATGATGATGAAAAAAACATATTGAAAATGGCATAAGGCATTAAAAAAATTTTCCTCATTGCTATCGTGAGTTAGGGTGCCCAAAGACTGGCGGCCAATGCTCAGTATTGCCACGTTGAATGGCAATGCTTGCCCAATAGTAGCCAGCCTTTCGATCACGGCCTCACCGGAAGTGTCAACCATATAATATAGGTGTTTGAGAGTCCAGGGTAATACACTTGCTTACAACAAAGCTGCCAGTCTCTAGGTACCTCCGACAAACATTTCGGACGGCAGATCGACTTCAATTAAGTTGAGCACTCACGTTTCTTTGGCTGTGTCCGGCCTGAATAAGTGCCACAGCTTGGGTGGCGACTTCAGGTGAACTATCCATAGATTATTGATGGAACCTCACCTTAATGTTAAGAATAAGTAATTTTTGTTGCAAAACCAAAGATATCAATCACTTTTTCAAGAATTAAATCCGAATAAACCAATAAAACCAAGTTTTCTTAGTATTCAATTGTTTGATATCAACAAAAAGGCTCCAAATTGTCTTTTGTTTTTTTAAATTCTATGTTCGAAATTCAAAAAGGACGAAATTGTGAATGTACCAGGTTCAAAACTGCATAAAAACTTTTTGCTCGACCTAATATAAAATTTTAGGGGGCATTCCACTTTGCGCACCTAAATGAAGCGCACCCAGACGAAGCGCACCTAAAGTATTCCACTTTGCGCACCTGTAGGTGCGCTTAAAATAAAAAATTTAAATAAATAGTTTTTCTATTCCACGAAGCGCACCTACGAATATCACTCGCATAGTGCGGAGACTAAGAAATAAAAATATCGATATAAGAACATATTTATTATTT